CTCCGGGAGCTCCAGGTGACTCTGGAGTGCCACCTGGTGGACACCCGGATGATTATCTCCAAGAAGATGTCGACTGTTTCATTCTATTACCCCGCTACTCATTTCTCCTTCAGAGCTTGGGGAAATCTAGCCCAAAGTTGTGTTCTAGAGAATTACCAAATGGCTGTCAAGCAGATTTATGACGAGTACGATTCCTCTGGATTTAAATAAGGCATATTTCTTGTTAGTGAATGTGGTTGCTCTTCGGTGGCATCAGGTTAGTTCCAACTCGTTGCTACCCTGCGAAGCACAGGACACGCCGCCAGGTCTTGCGCTGCTGCGTTCACCACGATCGCGCTCACTGCGCAGCCTCTCCTCTCATTGAGAGGAGTTCTCTTTTTCACTGCCCTTCTGCTCGACCAAGCATGATGTCCTTTTCTGCCCCTGTAAAAAGTTGCAGTCTCGGGAACTCCCCGGGCCGTTCTACCCTGCCCTGTGGATTAGATAGCAGTGAGTCTGGTTGCTCTGGGCTCCCTCCTACCTACAGGTCCAAAGCAAGTGAGACTAGAAGAAGTAGTCGTTGCCAGGACCGTAGTCCAAATGCATACATCCTACTGCTGTCTGAGTGGGCAGTAAAGAAACTGGATACCCAAAATTGGGGGGGATAAAGGCATAAAGTGGTTGGCTTACAAACTTTCCTAGGTGGGGAGATATATTCATGTACTATAGGATTAAGGTGTAGGTGTTACTTCCATGGATCTACCCTGATGCCGCCCTGGGGCTGGAGCAGCCTTGTGGAGACCCCTGCCAGCGCTGAGATGCTTACACGCTCACTGATTCGGCTTTCTTCCTGCAGTCGGCGTCATTGAGTGTTTTGTGAGATGGAGGAGGACTTTGTAGATCAGTGTCAGACATATGGGCTAATGTTGGACTTATGGGCTTAGGCAACACTGGGTTGGGATGCTTTCTTAGTGTACACTTACCCTTTATACAAAACTCTTTCTTATACGTATGAGTTTCTGTGGATATGTTTCTCTAATGTACCCAGACTAACACTTTATGGTGCCCAGGAGTGGGGCACGAAGTGATCAAAAACACGAGGGCTTGTGCCAGTGGCATCTTAATCCTCAAAGTGATCACATTGTTCTTCCGCACTTTAAAGCCAAAAGAAGACAAGAGGCAGATTGTGGAACAGTCTCATGTAGCAGATTTAGCCAATACAATAAGTCGTTTGATTTCTGGGCAACTGCACAGCTTCTAGCATTACAGCTACAGGCAAGTCACCACAGTCTAACAACCAGACCAGTGGTGGGTATGACAAACAGAAATGTTGAAATATTGTTATAAATGACATGTTTCCCCACCAAACTGAAGCACAAAAATATTGTATTCAAATTAGATCAAACTTTTGCATTTTCTACAGCTTGTGAAATTAGGCACTTTTTGTCCCTAACATTCTAAATATAGTAAAAATACACTGTTTTTGTATAATTCATTACAATTAGCAATGTTCTTTCCAGTCTTTTCTTTTTTAACTCAGAATGTCAGTGCTTCAAAATAATTGTCCTTAAGTTAAAAGGCAATTAGCTTAAGTCCTTAAAAATAAAACCACATTCCCTATCATCAAATCCATTCCGACTCACGACAACCCTAGAAGACAGAGTAGAACTTCCCCTGTGGGTTTTCAAGACTGTAACTTTTTAAAAAAATCATTTTATTGGAGGCTTGTACAACTCTTATCACAATCCATACATACTCCATTGTGTCAAGCCCATTTGTACATTTATTGCCATCATCATTCTCAAAACATTTGCTTTCTACTTGAGCCCTTGATATCAGCTCCTCATTTTCCCCCCTCCCTCCCCGCCTCCCCTCCCTCATGAACGCTTGATAATTTAAAAATTATTATTTTGGCATATCTTACACTGTCTGATGTCTCCCTTCACCCACTTTTCTGTTGTCCACCCCCCAGGGAGGAGGTCGTATGTAGATCCTTGTCATCGGTTCCCCCTTTCTACCCGAACTTCCCTCCACCCTCTAGGTATCGCCACTCTCAGCATTGGTCCTGAAAGCCTCATCTTTGTTTTGAAGAGAGCAGCGGGTGGCTTGGGACGGCAGACCTTGAAGTCAGCAGGCCACGGGTGACTGCTGTGCCACCAGGGCTCCTTCAGAGAGCTTATGCAGGAGGGGAAGAAGCACGCACAGACAAAGTCTGCCAGAGTGCGGCCCGGCACGCTCTT